TTATAAAAATTTAATTCCATGAGTCTGGACCCATGGAATGGCCAATGTTTCAAAGGCACAAAGGCAATGTCAAAGGCACATGTTTCAGACAGACTTGATATGCTTCAGATGTTCATATGCAAGCTGCTTGATGCAGCTGCTCACAACTTGACATATGATCACAGCCTGATTGATCAGATATCCTTTGAAGATAATTGCCAAGTTCCCTTTTGAACACTGCGAGAGGTAGGCCAATTATGCTCCCATATGTGTAAGGGTAGTGCGTTAAATTGTCTTAGACCTTTGATGTTGACAGAGTTCTCTCGTAGTGTGCCTATTGCACCTCTTCATTGGGCAAATTTGCATATCCTGCTATTCCTCCTAGTCTCAAGTGGTGTTTTTTCTATATGCAGATTTGGAACCAGTCCTCCTAGTATTTTCCAAGTGTAAATTATTATGTATCTCTTCTGCTTACATTCTGGTGAATACAGATTTAAACTTTTTTAAGTAGTCTCCAATAATTTAGATGTTATAGTTGATTTTAGCAGTAAAAGATATTTGCACAGACTCCAGGTCAGCAATTTCTCCAGCTTCAAATGGGCCCTTAGACCCTTGTGCACCCTGCACGGGGTCTGCTTTTGCAGGGTATGGGGTTTTTGTATCCCCCTTTCCTTTGTAAGTTTGCCTTAGGTGGGGCTCTCCCCCCCTTCCCCTGGAGTTCGTTTCTGGGTGCCTTTGGGCTCTGGAGATTGTCTTTTCAGAAGTTTCTTTCCTCTCGTATTTCCTCTTCGGAGGATCGGGAGGCCCTCTGTGCTTACCTCCTATGTGAACCAGTTTATGCCTTGGTGATGCATCCAGCCTCTTTTGAGTTTGGTTATTGCTCAACTTATTAGGTGCATTACAAGGTTCCGGAGTCGTCGTGGCTACCAGGTCCGAACCTGGGGCGGAACCAGATGGGACTTCCTCCAGTTCACCAGGAACCCAAACCCAGCGAGCTGGGAAAGAACCACACCCCTGGTGAGCAGACAAGCAGACTGACTGGGAGCCCACACCAGCCAGTTACCAAGGTAGGCCAGGACCCGAACCCCTAGCAGATGCAGATGGGTTACCATGACCCGGGTAGATGCGTGAATACGCGAGGTGCCAGATTCAAGCCAAAAGGAAGGCAACGAAAGCGGTAAGCTTGTCTCCCCATCACGAAACCTAACCAGTCCCTGAACTCCGGATGAATGGGAATATGCCAATACGCATCCTGAAAGTCCAGAGACACCATTCAAGCACCCGACTCCAACAGGAGCCGGACCTGAGACAGAGTGGTCATCCAAAAGGAGGGGCAAAGAATCTAGGGGTTCAGACGAGACAAGTCCAGAATGAAATGCAGATCTGCACAGTCCCGTTTCAGCACTGGAAACAGGCGGTAAACCCACCTGAAGAACGGGATCATTTTGACTATGCCCCAGGTGCACCAACTCCAAGATGACCCGACGGAGGGCATCTTATCTTGAGATTATCTTGAGATGATTTCGGGGTTTAGCATCCCTGCAGCCCAGTACTCGATCAGGCCTCCTTTTTGTTTCACACCCCCCCAAGAAGCAGCCCGTAGAAGCTGTCTAACTCCCAGGTACCTATTTACTGCAAGGTGAACAGAAGCATCAGGGTTAAAGAAACTCTGCCCATTTGTTTCCGCCTCCATCGGAGATCGAACCCGGAACCTTAGGACTATGACTCCAGAGCAATGTTCACTCAGCTGTCAGGCCTCTGGAGAAGAAGTCTGGACAAGGGAAGAAGTCTGGACAAGGGAAGAAGCCTGCCCAACCCGCCCCGAACCCCCCGGAGGCGGAGCAGCTCAACGACACAACAGGCTGCAGGGGACGACCCAAAACACCCATGACTCATAAGACCAGGCGTGAGCAAACAGAGCCAACTTTTTCCCCATCGCCCAGTTAATAGGGTGACCCATAAAAGGGCCTACGCCCCGTATGAGAAGACTGCTGACAAGCAGAGCGAATATCTCACTGACCAGACACTGCCATCTACGAAGGAAATGCTGGCCCACCCAGACCAGAGGAACCCCGAGCCCTGACACGACTCTTCTGAGAAAGCTAAGAACGGCCACCCAGAGAACCAACAAAACCAACATAGGACGACAACTAGATGATGCAGCCTGCAGAAACTGTGCGAAAGTAGCCTATGCAAACAGCAACAGACAAAAAGATAACGAAAACCTAAGACCCATGGCGCAAGCGGATTCCATAGAGAGAGCGAGTACGACCTGCAGGCATGCGAGGCGAGAAGCAAGGAACAGAGACACTGCCTCCCTGAGAAACGGTGCAAACAACTTCAATAATATGGCCGACGCCCGAGCCGCCAAGGCCAGCGCACCAAACAAAGGCCCGACACTCAACGCCTCCACATCCTCCTCAAGCCAGTCTGAAGACAGCTCGAGAAGGGAAAAGAAGGGCAAGGCCAAAGCCAAATCCCCTCGAGCCGCCTAGGATGCTGAAAAGGTGGGAACCTGCACGTGCAGCTGTACCAGGCTAACATCCCGAGGAAGCACAGGGGCGAACAAGCATGCATTAAGGTGCTCAAACTCACCCCCCCCCCAAAGTAAACCTACAGAATGGTAGAAGCCTCCCGACATTTGAGTATGCAGGTCTGACAAAACCAATGCCACCGCCCCTGCGAAAAGAATGGGCAGTCCACCAGCCAGGAAAACTCTGGAACCTCATAACGCACCCAATATGGGAAAGAACAACCAAACTCAAACGATGACGGATCCATCACAGAGGCAGAATCCAGGTCTTGCAGGAGGTACGCCGCAACTGCCTCCCGAACTTCCTTAGGGTAGATACAGGGAAGAAAACCCCTCCCCCTGCAATAACAAACCCCACGAAGAGGGTACTAAAACCCCAGCAGGATCAAAGGCGGCCCAAGCCTCTTAAATCAACTCCTCCCTCACCCCGGGATCCTCCAAACCAGGACCTGGGGAGAGCTGTCCTCCATGCCCTCTACCCCTGAAGTAAAGGCAGAGTCCTGGGGAAGGCAGCAAAGAAGGGGGTTTGCTGGTAGGACTTAAAAGCCTCGGAAGGAGGAACAGGCTCAAATGCCTCCGTCTCCAACTCGAATGGGGCAGCCCCTGAAGCTGCTCGAGTCTCATCACCAACTAAACCCCGCCCCGACTCCAAAACCCTCTTAGACATTTCAGAGCCGGCCGGGAAAGGACTGGGGAGCACGGACTGAACCAAATCGAAGCGACTAATGCCCCCCCCCCTAAATTTGGGTCCCTATAACCAAAACGGGGCAGCATTGAGGCATCCGAGCGCGCAACCAACCTAGCGCATCACGGCAACCTAAACCGAGCATGCAACACGGAGTCCGTCTGTACCCGAACCACAATTTCTATAGAATGGGTAAATTGGAGCACGAGCAGAGAACACGTCTCGCAAGACTCTGGGTCAAAGGTGTTCTTGACCCAACAGGCAGCATGACGGAGGCAAAATCGGTGACTGCCACCCTCAGACAAAGACACACAGCAACCTTCAAATTCGCACGAGGCGAACTGGAACTCGGAAGACACATCCATCGGTCCACTGAGCCCCGACGGGGTTGTCCAGGCCCGTAGGCTGAATGATACGGGAAGCCTAGTTAAGGTGCTACAAAGCCTGTTAAACCCAAGAGCTAACAAAAGGGGGATGAGCCAAAATCCCTGAAATTCCTTCAACATGTACAATCACAGGGGCCTAGAGGAGGGGCCACGCAAACATAGCACAATAAGTGGACCAATAGCCAAACAAGGCAGATCCCCTCCTGGCAAAGAGAACAAAAATAAAAGAAAAAACTCCGCAAAAGTACAATGTCTCCAGAGAGAAACAGGAAAACGCCCACTGCGTAGGTAGGCAAGCTGTGCAGCACCTTGCGCCCCAACCAGCAACTACACCACTTCCTACCCACGGCCAAACAAAGACCACAAAACCCTAGCTGGCCCTAAAGGGAGGGCAAATGCCAATCAGCAAGAACCCCTATGAAAGTGGTTACCCGAAGGCACTATGGAAAGCAACCCTAGCACCCAAGGTTGGTGCTTACAGGGCGCTTAGGGAAGGTAGCATAAGTGCATCCAACCCCAATTCACCGATGAAACACCTAGCTACCACACCACAACATGGCAGAGAACACCACTACTGTATCTTTTTGAGGTTATCTTGAGATGATTTCGGGGCTTAGCATTCCTGTGGCCTGATCCTCAACCAGGCCTCCTTTTTTTGTTACAAATCCCCAGGAAGCAGCCCATAGCAGCTGTCTAACTCCCAGGTACCTATTTACTGCTAGGTAACAGGGGCATCAAGGTGAAAGAAACTCTGCCCATTTGTTTCCGCCTCCACCGGGGATCGAACCCGGCATCTCAGGACTATGAATTCGAAATGCTGTCCACTTAGCTGTCAGGCCACTAAGGTGAAACACAGCCAAGAAATCAAGGCCAGAGTTGATGATAGCCCCAGATCACATCAGCCAACGAACAGAGGTGTGAGTAGACAGTGCAGGGGTCTAGGGCTCCCCCCTTCCCCTCCCGGGGAGGGGAGGGCTGCACGGAAGAGCGGCGCGGCGAAGGTGTATGACGTTTGCTTGTTTCCTTGAGAGTTGGAGGAGTTCTGCATCCCTGTTCAGTCTTCAGTTGCAATTTTTGTACTAAGTGGAGTCTGTTTTGTTATACCTACCTTTCTGGGTGCCTAACCCCTGGTTGATGGCAGACATGGAATACCCCTAACCACAGGGGGGGGGGGGGTATTCACTACACTGGAATTCCCAGTGTAGTCCCAGTATTCCCAGCCACTGCTCCCTGTGCCTCTCTGAGGGGGCCAGGTTTTGGCTCGTGGTCCCCGGTAGGCTGAACTCCACTGACTAATGCCCTAGACTAATATATTGCATATCAGTCCGATAGCTCAAGGATGCCGGAGGGGCTCTGCACAGAAAACTGAAGAACAGCTATGGCATAATATCTAAATATAATAACAGATTTATCTTACTTATCAGGAACTTGTGTCAGCTGATTTTTCCCAAGGTCAACTGTCCTCACTCTGGCCTCAGAAGCATTTTCAAATAACACATCTGGAATGTCCGAGGCCTTCTCATTGTAAGCCAATGTTTGGGTATTTCTCATCTGGTATTTGTCCGGGATTGATCTGTTTTCCAGAAGCAAATTGCTATCAGCTGCACTATTTTCAAAGCCTATAAAAAAGTATTGGAAAAAACAATTTAATAATACTGTATATAAAGAACTGACAATGAACCTATTATATTATAAAAACAGTACCATCACTTAAATAAGTTAATCAAAATCAATGCAGCCTTTTATCCCATTAACATGTAGTGAATGGTAGCCCACATTATACCACACACACACACACATGTAGAGTAGTGTACTCTCTCAGGCAGTGAATGGATCACATTATACCACACACATTCTCAAACCTCATTCTGGAGACATTCTTGTACTGTATCAACACATAAAGCAAGCCACAAGAATGAGGGAAGGAAATGTACCGTCAGTACTGGATCTAGTATTCACCAGGAAAGAAGAAGAGATTTTTGACATCCAGTACCTTCCTCCCTTGGGAAAGAGTGATCACGTCCTGTTAGACATTAAATATGCTTTAAGATATCATCTAGAAGAAAATGGGGACATTGAAACAGTTGATAAACTCGATTTAAGGAGAGGCAACTTTGGGGAACTTCGAAATTTTTTTAATGAGTGTAATTGGACAGAATTGTTGCTAGGTAGGGAAGTAAATGAAATGTATGCCAAATTTTTAAAACTATACGAGGAAGGCACACAAACATTCATACCAAAACAGAGATGCAGGGACAGAAAACAGGATTGGTTCGACAGAAATTGTGAGAGGGCAAGAGACCAAAAGACACAAAAATGGAATCAGTATAGGAAGAGGCCAAACCCCCAAACATACCAGTGATACAAAGATGCGAGAAACAACTATACAGCAGTAAGGAGAGAGGCAGAAAGAAATTTTGAAAAAGGGATAGCAGATAAATGTAAAACAGAACCGGGCCTATTCTTCAAATTCATAAACAACAAATTGCAGGTAAAGGATAATATCCAGAGGTTGAAAATGGGAAACAGATTCACGGAAAATGAAAAGGAAATGTGTGAAACATTAAATGAAAAGTTCCAAAGTGTGTTTGTACAAAATGAAATCTTCAGAGAACCAGACACAATAAGAATTCCAGAGAACAACATAGAGCGGATAGAGGTGTCTAGAGATGAAGTGGAAAATATGCTAAAGGAGCTCGGGAAGAACAAAGCAGCTGGCCCAGATGGCGTTTCACCATGGGTTCTGAGAGAATGTGCATCTGAGCTCAGCATTCCACTTCACCTGATCTTTCAGGCATCCCTGTGTACAGGAATTGTAGCAGACGTGTGGAAACAGGCTAACATAGTTCCAATCTACAAAAGTGGCAGCAGGGAAGACCCCCTCAATTATAGACCTGTATCATTGACAAGTGTAATAGTGAAAGTATTGGAAAAGCTAATCAAAACTAAATGGGTAGAACACCTGGAGAGAAATGATATAATATCAGACAGACAGTATGGTTTTCGATCTGGAAGATCCTGTGTATCGAATTTACTCAGTTTCTATGATCGAGCCACAGAGATATTACAGGAAAGAGATGGTTGGGTTGACTGCATCTATCTGGACCTAAAAAAGGCTTTCGACAGAGTTCCACATAAGAGGTTGTTCTGGAAACTGGAAAATATTGGAGGGGTGACAGGTAAGCTTCTATCATGGATGAAAAATTTTCTGACTGATAGAAAAATGAGGGCAGTAATCAGAGGCAATGTATCGGAATGGAGAAATGTCACAAGTGGAGTACCACAGGGTTCAGTTCTTGCACCAGTGATGTTTATTATGTACATAAATGATCTACCAGTTGGTATACAGAATTATATGAACATGTTTGCTGATGATGCTAAGATAATAGGAAGGATAAGAAATTTAGATGATTGTCATGCCCTTCAAGAACACCCCGAACAAAATAAGTATATGGAGCACCACCTGGCAAATGGAATTTAATGTTAATAAATGTCATGTTATGGAATGTGGAATAGGAGAACATAGACCCCATACAACCTATATATTATGTGAGAAATCTTTAAAGAATTCTGATAAAGAAAGAGATCTAGGGGTGGTTCTAGATAGAAAACTATCACCTGAGGACCACATAAAGAATATTGTGCAAGGAGCCTATGCAATGCTTTCTAACTTCAGAATTGCATTTAAATACATGGATGGCGATATACTAAAGAAATTGTTCATGACTTTTGTTAGGCCAAAGCTAGAATATGCAGTTGTTGTGTGGTGCCCATATCTTAAGAAGCACATCAACAAACTGGAAAAGGTGCAAAGACATGCTACGAAGTGGCTCCCAGAACTGAAGGGCAAGAGCTACGAGGAGAGGTTGGAAGCATTAAACATGCCAAAACTAGAAGACAGAAGAAAAAGAGGTGATATGATCACTACATACAAAATAGTAACAGGAATTGATAAAATCGACAGGGAAGATTTCCTGAGACCTGGCACTTCAAGAACAAGAGGTCATAGATTTAAACTAGCTAAACACAGATGCCGAAGAAATATAAGAAAATTCACCTTCGCAAATAGAGTGGTAGACGGTTGGAACAAGTTAAGTGAGAAGGTGGTGGAGGCCAAGACCGTCAGTAGTTTCAACGCGTTATATGACAAAGAGTGCTGGGAAGACGGGACACCACGAGCGTAGCTCTCATCCTGTAACTACCTTACCTTGAGGTTACCTTGAGGTGCTTCCGGGGCTTAGCGTCCCCGCGGCCCGGTCGTCGACCAGGCCTCCTGGTTCCTGGATTGGCCAACCAGGCTGTTGGATGCGGCTGCTCGCAGCCTAACATATGAGTTACAGCCTGGTTGATCTGGTATCCTTTGGAGGTGCTTATCCAGTTCTCTCTTGAACACTGTGAGGGGTCAGCCAGTTATACCCCATTTGTGTAATGGAAGCGTGTTGAACAGTTTCGGGCCTCTGATGTTGATAAGAGTTCTCTCTCAGAGTACCTGTTGCACCTCTGCTTTTCAACGGAGGTATTCTGCACATCCTGCCATGCCTTCTGATCTCATGTGATGTTATTTCTGTGTGTAGGTTTGGGACCAGCCCCTCTAATATTTTCCATGTGTAAATTATTATGTATCTCTTCCACCTGCGCTCAAGGTTATCTTGAGGTTATCTTGAGATGATTTCGGGGCTTTAGTGTCCTCACGGCCCAGTCCTCGACCAGGCCTCCACCCCCAGGAAGCAGCTCGTGACAGCTGACTAACACCCAGGTACCTATTTTACTGCTAGGTAATAGGGGCATAGCATGAAAGAAACTCTGCCCATTGTTTCTCGCCGGCGCCCGGGATCGAACCCGGGACCACAGGATCACAAGTCCAGTGTGCTGTCCGCTCATCTGACCGGCTCCGATTTAGGGAATTTAGGGAATATGATTTAGGGAATACAGATTTAGGCATTTTAGTTGGTCCCAGTAGTTTAGATGTTTTACTGAGTGGATTCTAGCAGTAAAGGAACTCTGCATGCTCTCCAGGTCAGCAATTTCTCCAGCTTTGAAAGGGGTTGTCATTGTGCAGCAGTACTCCACTCTAGAGAGCACTAGCGATTTGAAAAGTATCATCATCAGTATAGCATCTCTAGTGTGAAAAGTTTTTGTTATCCAACCTGTCATTTTTCTTGCAATTATGACAGCTACTTTATTGTGTTCTTTAAAGGTATATCTTCCGACATGAGTACACCCAAATCTTTTACATTGTCTTTCCGTTCTATGTTATGATTTGAATGAGTTTTGTACGTGGTTTCCGTTTTTATATTTTCATTTTTTCTGTAGCGCATGAGCTGGAACTTATCTTCGTTAAACACCATATTATTTTCTGTAGACCATAGAAAGACCCCTCTACTTTCATGAAAATCCTAGTGTCATCTGCAAAAGATGATACAGTACTATAGATTGTGTCCTTGTCTATGTCCGATATGAGGATGAGAAAAAGTATTGGAGCAAGCACAGTGCCCTAAGGGACTGAGCTCTTCATGGTTGATGGTCCGGATTTTATTTTGTTGACTATTACACATTGGGTTCTGTTAGTCAGGAAATTGTAGATCCATCTGCCTATTTTTCCGGTAATTCCTTTTGAACACATTTTATGTGCAATAACACCATGGTCACATTTGTTGAAGGCTTTTGCAAAATCTGTGTAAATTACATCAGCATTTTGATTGTCTTCCATGGCATCTAATGCCATGTCATAGTGGTCCAGCAAATGTGGCAGGCAAGAGCGTCCTGTTCTGAAACCATGTTGTCCGGGGTTATGGAGATGCTGTGATTCCATGTATTTTGTGATCTTACTTCTTAGCACTCTCTCAAAGATTTTTATGATGTGCGATGTTAGTGCTATCGGTCTGTAATTTTTTGCCTCTGCCTTATTTCCTCCTTTATGGAGTGGTGCTATCTCTGCTGTCTTTAGTATGTCAGGGATGACACCAGTATCTAGGCTTTGTCTCCACAGAATGTGGAGGGCCTGCGATAGTGTTTTTTTTTACAGTTCTTAATGAATATGGAGTTTCAAGAATCAGGGCCTGGTGCAGAGTGCATAGGCATATTGTTTATGGCTTCTTCAAAATCCAGTGGGGATAGGGTGACGTCTGATATATGATTTGATGTTGGTATCATATCCATGAAAAATTCATTTGGGTTATCAATCTTTAGTGTATTTAGTGGCTCGCTGAAAACAGAGGCATATTGCTTCCTCAGTAGCTCGCTCATTTCTTTGTTGTCATCGGTGAAAGTTCCATCTCCCTTTCGCAGAGGCCCAATACTAGATGTGGTTTTTTATCTTGATTTTGCATAAGAGAAAAAATATTTTGGATTTCTCTCAATTTCACTGATGGCCTTTTGCTTTTTTTGCCTCTCCTGGGTATTGTACGATTCTTGTAGCTTGAGTTCAATTGTTTCTATTTCTCTACCTAACCTTCTTCGCCGTTCTTGAGATAGGGTGTGACTCTCAAGTTGTTCCGCGATTCGTTTTCTTCGCCTATAGAGGGAACAATGTTTCCGTTCCAATCTGTATCTTTCCTCTTTTCTCTTAGGGGAATGTGGTTTGAACATATTTCTAGTGCTACTGAGCTTATTTTTTTCAGGCACTGGTTTAGGTTTGCATTTTCTAGCTGTTCTTCCCAGTTTATTTCTGTGAAGTCCTGGTTTATTTGTTCCCAGTTTATCTGTTTATTATTGAAGTTGAATTTCCTGAAATCTCCTCCACTGGGAATCTGGACTGGTTTTGAAGGTCTACTCCCCATGCTTGTCAGAACTTCAATTAAGTTGTGATCTGAGTAACAGGTATTTGTAATCATTATGTTCCTGATCAATTCATCATTATTGGTGAAAATGAGATCTAGCATGTTCTTCCTGGTTAGTTCTACTATTTGCTGATTTAAGACAAACCTGTCACACATCTGTAGCAGGTCATTTGCATGTGCCTGTTCATTTAGGCTACTTCCTGGTTTTCTTTCTGATATTACTGTATTGGCTAGGTTCTTCAATTTCAGGTGCCGTAGGTTGAAGTCCCCAAGCAGGATGATATTCGGGGCTGGATTTGTGAGGTTTTCCAAGCAGTGTTCTATGTTTATTAGTTGGTCTTCAAACTGCTGAGAGTTTGCCTCCGGTGACTTATATACAAGGATAATAACTACATTTAAGATCTCTATTTTGATTATCAACACTTCCACCATATCATTTGAGGTGTTTAGCAGCTCAGTACAGATGAGTGTGTCATTGATGTAGAGGCTGACCCCACCCTGAAGCCGGTGTTTCCTATCACATCTGAAAAGATTGTACTCTGAGAGCCATATTTCACCATCATAATAGTCCTTTTGTGAGTTTCCATTAGGGCTGCAAACACTGCATTTGCCTCATGAAGGAGACCATCTATAAAATGAACTTTGTTTGATTTGCGTGTTTTTCTACCCTGGATGTTGGCAAATATAAATGATGTTATCGTGTTTGTGGAAGTGCTGGATGCTTTACTTGGTGTTAATATCTGAGGCTCTGGTAGGGAGGCCACTGTGTTTGCGTCCTCTCTAGCACTTGACCGAGATGGTGGTAGAGTCTGGTCATTTTTAGCCATTCTTCTCCTCTTTCTCTTGCTAAAAAATCATCCTGGTCGATGAAGTTGTGGCTGTTTTTATAGTGGGGGTCTGTCGGTTTTATTTGCCTGGTACCTCTCATATGGAAAGCTGGACATTCCATACTGAAGCATTCTTTTCTGTCTAAAGACTTCTTGCAAATTTCTGGATGAAATAATTCACAGCTTTTGGTACATTTTCCTGTACTGAGGAGGTTTCTGCACTTTCTAGGGTGATCGTACTTACATGTTCCATTTGTTCTTCCCGATATCCCATGCTTACAGGTACCTAATTTGTAATACCAACAGATTTTGGGTCCTTGTTTTGTTTGTTTCCCTTTACCAGGGACCGCGCCCTGCTGTGGTGCTCCCAACACTGTGCTCTGCTCCGGCGCCATTGACACCGCGCTCTGCTCCGGCGCCATCGACACCGCGCTCTGCTCCAGTGCCCGCAACACTGTGCTCTGCTCCAGTGCCCACGACACTGCGCTCTGCTCCGACGCCCGTGACACCACGCTCTGCTCCGACACCTGCAACACCTCGCTCTGCTCCGACACCCGCGACACCGCGCTCTTCTCTGGCATCCCCGACTCCGCGCTCTGCCCCGGTGGCCCCAACTCCGCACTCTGCTCCTGCGGCCCCAACTCTGCGCTCTGATCCGACGTCTGATTTTACCTTGGTGTCATAGCCAATTTGTTTGAAGACATTTGAAATTGCTATGCAGGCATTTATTAGTGATTCTCTGTTTTCAGCAGGAGTTTCATCATCTTCAAGAAAGTTACATCATCCTTTTTGCAGAGCCATAACACAGAGTGGTCTTTGAGATAATTTCTCCTGGCATTATTAGTCATGTTGGCACAATTGTTTGTGTATGGCTCCTAAACAGAATTGGCATTGAAAGTTCTGTTAGTAATCTACCTTCATGTTGCATTCTATGCACGTTTTTATCAAAGACATTTTTGTTGAATACTTCTGTTCAATGGTAGTGGTGCTTACAAGATGGGGTGTTGACCGTTGGGGGTTGACCGTGGGTGTTTACCAACTTGAGACCGACCTGGAGGAGGCTGTATGGAAGGGCAGTGTTAACAGTGGGTACTCGGGGTAGGCCTACCTCCAAATGGCCCTTGTTTACACACATGACGAACTTATTTTGTGTATAATTTGTTCACTTGATATTAAGGAATGTTATCTTAGTTTTTTTTATAATTGACACAAGTTTTACATAGAACTTAGCACTATGGGCACTGATTTCTTGATGTTTCAATACGAGGGCTGTGATTTTTTGACGACTTGGCAACTATTGCCTAAGTACTCCTGGCACCACCACGTGGGAAGAAGGGCAGGCGTTGGCATTGGTTGGGAGCATTCTATGTTTGTCTTGACCGGGTTAGGCACCCAGAAAGGTAAGCATCCCAAAACAAACCCCAATTCTGGTGAAAATATTGCTACCAAAACAGAACAAGTGGATAGAACTCCCCTAAAAGAAACGAGCATGACATCACACATCTCCGCACCGCTATCTGTGCAGCTCCCCCCTTCCCGGGAAGGGGAAGGGGGAGCCCCAGACCCCTCACACTGGCTATCCACCCTTCAGTTCTGAGTCTGGACGTTAAAACACACGAAAAAAACGCCAACCGGAGGGAGGGAGGGATGCTGGGAAGCCTCCGGGTCTCACCCAGAAAATGGCGCTTCATTACATTCAACGCTGGATTTCTCGGGGGTGCCCCTTCGGCTCCCCAGGGCTAACTACCCACAGAGGAAAAACATAGGGACTTACCCGGGAGGCAGTCGCTGCTCAATCCTCAACTCGAAGTCAAGACAACTGGTTGCAACCGCCGACCCAAAGCAACACAGGCCGGACTAGATCCAGGGATGTTCACTAAGTAACAAGCAGCCAGGACCCTGTTTGATCGCCAAAGCCCCGTACCCGAATGTCAGCCCAGGACATGGTGCCACAAGATGACAGCAAGAGCAACGAACTTACGAACGTCATGAGCACGGGGATAGACCGCAGGCTGGCTAGCCTTAATAACTCTGCGGATGAGCTGGGAGACCCCGCACCTGCAAACAGGGAAGAAGAGAAACCGGATCAACCCAAAGCGAGTTCCCGGACAAAGAAGCCATGGCGTGCAAATAACAGCAAGGAGCCGCAACCGGACACAGAACATGATGCACCCCCGACCAAACCAACCAAGCATCAACAACCCAGAGACCCCTCCAGAAAGCAGCAGTCTCATTCTTCTCCAGAAAAGGAGGAGACGGCTGTAGACGAATAAAACCATGATGAAGACCGAAAAAGCAGAAACCCCTGCGTCGGAGGAGAGCATGTAGCTCCCAACCTGACCCCCAGAGGCCAATGCCAACAGGAAAAAGAGCCTTGGAGAAACAATCCTGAACCGAAGGGGCCACAAGAAACCGTGCAGAAGAAAGAAGAGAGAGCACTCTGTCCAATGATCAGGACGGCTCAGGCGGCGCATGAGCAGGCCGGAGGTGAAACAACGCATGAGACAGCTTGCGAAACGGCGCAGAAGTAACATCAATACACAAAGCAAGCTGAAGCGGCTGAAGCCAGTGCCGCTTCAGCCTCCCCCCCATCGCCCCGTCAATGGGGCAAACCGCAAAAGGGCCGGCGCCCCTTATGAGACCCAGAATCCCGCACAGGCCTTAGTAGCAAAATCCCGCACAGCCTTGAAGGAATGGGTCGGCTGGGAAAACCCAGACATTTCGGCGAGATCAAGACACTCGACTGCCTCCGCACCCAGTTCGGAATAGGTAAACTCCGTAACTACCCGAGCCACATCCCAAGCTAAACCCTGAGCCGAATCCAAAACCCTCAGACGTTTTGGAGTCAGAAGCAGGAGGGAAGGGGGGGGGGGGGGGTGGGAATCTAGTGCGAAACTTGCCTCAAGAAAAGGACGAGGGGGGTGTGGACAGAATGACCGTCGAGTTGACCAGCACCCCAAATCTGAGTCTCTAAACACCAAACGGGGCAGATCAGGAGCATCCAGCCAGACACACAACTGAGCCCGTTGAAAAACAGAAAACTGTGAAAAACCTTTTCTGGTATGTGGTTTGGTCATTATATCTTCAGCCACATGATTGTGATTCATTGTCTGCAACTGGAAATCTATTGTATTTAAAGTACACCTAGCCATTCTCAAGAATTTCCACACTGAACAGAAAACAAATATATAAAGCACAAATAACTTGTTTAGAGTTAGAACCTCTAAAACATATTTTTATTTAAATATGAATGCAATTTCTTGCAAATAAAAGAAACAATACAGTTTTGAATCACTCAACAAATGTTAACTAACCAGGAAATGTATTAATTGGTGCCGATACCCTTGATCGTAAATATTTAAGAAGTTGGACAGTGCCACGTTGGACAATGTCTCGACGGATGAGTCGCATGGGGTTACCTTCTAATGGCATGGATTTTAAGTGGGGTAGAAGACCAATGTGATATGGCAACCTGTAAAAGTAACAAAATGTACATTGATTATATAGTATCAATTAAAATATCACAAACATGTATTAAGCCTATTGTTTTTTATCTCTGCAATAAATTATAATTTTCATTTCAAAACATTTTGGAATTATTTTGTATTAAATCCAAGGCTCTTATTATAATAATGCCACTTTCAGTTTGCACTCTAAAACAGCTTTTAGTTAAATTACATGAAACCAATAATAGTCTTCATTGCTTAGTATTTCTTGGCAACGTACGTAAACACACTACACTACCATCAAACTTACCTATTGACTAGTGTACTCATTCACTGGTTCACACTGATCGATGTGTGGTTTAGTTAAGTGATCTAGCCCACTAAATATTTCATAAAACCAGCAGTGAGCGTAATGAAATGCCAATCTCTAGGCGAACCCAAGTGGCTTCCCGGAGCTAACATCTCCTATGTGTGTATTGCCTAATACGTGCCATCAGTCGCAGAGTTTCCTGGCCTACCGAGGACCACGAGCCAGATCCTGGCCCTCTCACAGAGGAGCAGGGAGCAGTGCCGTGTATTTTGTATATGCCACCACCAGGTAAGGCACCCAGAAAGTCAGAGACAACAGACCACAGATGGCTACTTCTTAACCCTCAGGCAGTGATCATCATCATATGTTGATTAACAGGGTAATGTGATAATTGTCATATGACGATTTAAGAATTATTGTCTGGGTTTTACATGTATGATGAAAACAAGGATATAAACCCCACTCGATTTAACGGCCTATATGGGGTTGTACCCACGTCGTTAAATGCGGGGCTACGGTATTTCAGAAGTTGTTAAGTGTCGGTAATAGTTATCTTGAGGTTATCTTGAGATGATTTCGGGGCTTTTTAGTGTCCCCGCAGCCCGGTCCTCGACCAGGCCTCCACCCCCAGGAAGCAGCCCGTGACAGCTGACTAAACACCCAGGTACCTATTTAACTGCTAGGTAACAGGGGCATAGGGTGAAAGAAACTCTGCCTATTGTTTCTCGCCGGCGCCTGGGATCGAACCCAGGATCACAAGTCCAGCGTGCTGTCCGCTCGGCCGACCGGCTCCCCAATATTTCAAGTAACATTCAGGTAAGATATATTTTGTGCAGAAAGCCACTTGGTCCACCAATCTAGAGCCTTCTACCACCACTCTAGTGTGACGTCACAGATTCATGGCACATTATTTTGATTTGTCGCGAGGCTGGAGTGTTCATTCTGTATTGTTCATTTACTTTGTTGGACATATCTGCACAATCAAGAAACATCAGTGCACCATGTTGGCTCCAAATGCACTCATTGTGTCAGTGATGGTTGACTAGTGGGTGGATGGGCAGGCAGAGTGGGCAGATGGGCAGGGAGAGAGATAGGCTGGGAGGTGGGCAGGGAGGAGGGCCGGGAGGTGGGCCGGGAGGTGGGCCGGGAGGTGGGCCGGGAGGGAGGCCGGGAGGGAGGCCGGGAGGTGGGCCGGGAGGTGGGCCGGGAGGGAGGCCGGGAGGTGGGCTGGGAGGTGGGCCGGGAGGTAGGCTGGGAGGGAGGCAGGGAGGTGGGCCGGGAGGTGGGCCGGGAGGTGGGCCGGGAGGTGGGCCGGGAGGGAGGCCGGGAGGGAGGCCGGGAGGGAGGCCGGGAGGTGGGCCGGGAGGTGGGCCGGGAGGTGGGCCGGGAGGGAGGCTGGGAGGGAGGCTGGGAGGTGGGTCGGGAGGTGGGCCGGGAGGTAGGCAGGGAGGGAGGGAGAGGATGGAGACGGATGGATGGATGGATGGAGGGATGGAAGGATAGAAGGAAGGATGGATGGAGGGATGGATGGAGGGATGGAGGGAGGGATGGAGGGACGGAGGGAGGGACGGAGGGAGGGATGGAGGGAGGGATGGATGGAGGGATGGAGGGAGGGATGGATGGAGGGACGGAGGGAGGGATGGAGGGAGGGATGGATGGAGGGATGGAGGGAGGGATGGATGGAGGGACGGAGGGAGGGATGGAGGGAGGGATGGATGGAGGGATGGATGGAGGGATGGATGGAGGGACGGAGGGAGGGACGGAGGGAGGGATGGAGGGAGGGATGGATGGAGGGATGGATGGAGGGATGGATGGAGGGATGGAGGGAGGGATGGATGGAGGGTTAGGGAGGGAGGGATGGATGGAGGGTTAGGGAGGGAGGGTTAGGGAGGGAGGGATGGATGGAGGGTTAGGGAGGGAGGGTTAGGGAAGGAGGGATGGGTGTTGAATTGAACTACGTGACCAGTGAAGCAGAAAGAGTGCGTGTATGGGATGATGTAGGGTGGGGGAGGTGTGGCGGTGGTGGGGGGAAAGGGACAGGCACCCAGAAAGGTAGGCGCCCCAAAACAAACCCCTATTCTGGTGAAAATATTGCTACCGAAACCCGAACGAGTAGACAGAACTCCCGAAACAAAAGCTGCAGACTGCAAACTGGGATCCTGCAGACAACCCAGGAGACCCGAACCCCAGAACAGGAAGGAGGGAAGGAAAGGAACCCGGGCAAACCAAAACGCGTTCACGGCCCGAGAGGCCAAGATGCGCAGAGAACAGCGAAGAGCCGCAACTGAACAACAAAAGAAGCACCCCCGCCTGACGAACCAAGCAGCAATCCAAGGACCCCTCCGGAAAACAACAGACCCAAACATCATCCGAAAAGAAGGAGACTGCAACAAACGAACAAACTACCACTAGGACCAAACAAGGCAGAAAAACACAGGCGCCTAAGGAGCCAGAAACCCCTCAAACGAACCCTCAGAGGCCAACACAAACAGAAAAAGGAGACCTGAAAAACAAAACAAAAACACACCAGAACCGATGGGATCATGATAAACCGAGGAGAAGAAAGAAAATAGACCACTTGGGCTAATGACCAGGACGGCACTGGAAGAGCAAGAGCAGGCCAGAGGTAAAACAACGCCCAAGTCAGCAAGCGGAATGGAGCAGAAGGTACAGCAACACCGAATGCAAGCTGGAGCGGCCCCGCCAGCACCACCTAAGATAAAGCAACAGTACACTGCACCAGAAAATGATCTCGGAACAACCCCAAAGGGAAAGTCAAGACAACCCTATCAGAGACTAAATAACCCTTCGCAGTGATAGGAATGCCAGAAGGACCACCAGGAAACTACACAACACTGCCGAGACAAAGCACGCAGTTGGGAGACCAACAACGAAGCAACCAGTGCCCACACAAGCAACGAGAAACTCGAGACAAAAACCAGAGATGGGAAGACTCGAAGGGAAGAACGAACCAGCCTCGTACACGGCTGGACCGATCTGCAAAAAGAGGCGGAACCGCGGGAAGACCCTCAGGATCGGAAACCGAGTAAAGTACCGTGAAAGGCACAGAAGTGAAACAAAAACCGAAGCCAGAAGCGCTCGACCGGCCAGTAATCCCATCAGCAAAATCAAGAACAAGAGGACATAGCTTCAAGCTAAGGAAACAAAGGTGCCAAAAAAATATTAGAAAGTTTTCTCTTGCAAACAGAGTGGTAGACGGTTCGAACACGTTAAGAGAAGGTGGTGGAGGCCAAAACCGTCAGTAGTTTCAAAGCATTATATGACAAAGAGTACTGGGAAGATGGGACACCGTGAACATAGCTCTCCTCTTGAAATTACACTTGGGCAATTATATCATATCACTCAGTTGATATTCTTTGATACCCTGACAATGTGGATTACTGAGAGAACTAAATCCTGAGAAGCTATTGGCACCACAGAATGCCACACTGAAAGATTTGAAATACACTCATTGGCTCAGACAGGTCATATTCACCTCTAGACAGGCTCCTACAATACCACTGAACCAGCTGAAAGCAGAGACCGCCATCACTAATAGAACTGACCCAAAAGCCAGACTATAGACAAGAGCTGCATAAATATTACTGTAGAAACTTAAAACAAAATTAAATGTAGGTGTTAGATATGAAGTATTTACAGTACGATCAACACTATCCTTACACAGGATGAACAACCCAGCGGGTTTTCTTCCTATTGGGGAGTGTTGTACATTCTGCTATGGCGGTATGTTCACTCACAAGATGAGTGGCGTTGCCCAATAAACTCGCCCCTCGGGGCAAAATTTTAACTATCCTTACGTAGATAAGTTATTATTGGTGATATCTAGACGCTCGAGACCTTGAAGAAGTGTGATCTGATCAGGTAAGTCATCAATCTGATTGTCACGTACATCAAGGACACTAATACCAGTCAGGTATCCCAGTTGCTCAGCATCCAACTCCTGCAGAAATATTGAAGCCAACAATTACTACATCTGCAGTAAAGATGCATCATGTTAAAACAGCATCACTAATAGAACCAGTTCAATTAAGTAATACACATTACTTACCTACAATTTATTTACTATTCAATTATCTGTGATTCAGTGTTTTATGCTCAGCATTCTAAGAGGTATTTACATTTATTGGCATAAAGCCTAATTAGGAGATGTGAATGATATATAAAATAATATTATGTATTATACACTATTACTACATTTTACCAAATTAGTCAAAATATGAAACTAGCTAGAGTAATTTTATTTTATCCATACAAGGGAGACCCTAACTTACAAGTGGCTTGAGTTCTGATGAGCCATTCATAAAGCAGTTATTAGAATTCAGAATTGGATTTCTTATAGGTACAATGATATGAATGGGAATGTATTTCTGAACCGAATAAAAAAAACCAGCGTTGAAAGTAATGAAACGTCATTTTCTGGGAGAACCTCAGAGGCTCCCTGGAGCAATCAAGCTAATGTGTTTTATATTAGACCGGGACATTAGTCTATGGAGTTCCACCTACCAGGGACCACGAGTCAGAACCTGGCCCCTTCAGAGAGGTTTCAGGGAGTAAAGGCCCTGGAAAACCCCCTTTGTGGTTGGAGGGTTTTCCTGATCTGCTATCGACTGGGGTTAGGCACATATACAAAGGTAGATACTGTACATAGATTGGGAGATGCCAAGACCACACCGACACGAAGAGGTCCACTTCTAGGAGTACATACCTCCGGCAGAGCCAATGAAAAGAGTCGGGAGATGACCGTCAATTCCATGGACAGGGAAATGAACCGAGACAGGCCATCCGCCAGGACGTTGGACACTCCTCGGGTATGACCCACATGGAGAGCCAAACCCCGAGAAGCCAGCAGACGAGCCACTCGAAGCGACCAGCCACAAAGAGGCAAGGACTGAAGAGAACCCCCCTGCGGTTCAGACACTGAACCACCGAGGAACAGTCTGATTGGAACCGGACGGTCGAACCCCCGAGCGACCCAAACCCTCCGAAGCGAAAAACAGAAAACTGCGAACTCCCGAACCGTGCTGTGAGCCCGATGGAAGGACTGACCCCACCTTCCCTGGCCGACCTGGTGAACACTGGTCACAAAGCCCCAGCCCATAGATGACGAGTCTGTGAACACATCGAGCGAGGGCTCAGGTAGGCGCCAGGGCACTGAATCCAAAAAAAAACCAAAGAGGAAGTCGGCGATGCAGCAACCAGCGCAAGGCCCCAGGAGGCCAGACCCAGCAATCGTGAGAGAGGCGGAAGGCCCAGCCAAGACTGAACCTGAGAGGGAACCTATGAGACTTACGCCAGTTCACCAGAAACCTGAACCCAGCTAGCTAGGAAAGAACCAAGTCCCTGGCCAGCAGACACACAGGCCGACTGGGAACCCACACAAGCCAGTCATCGAGGTATGCGAGGACCCAAACCTCTAACAGACGCAACCCAGCCACCAAAACCCAGGTGAGGTGTGTAAACATGCGAGGAGACAGATTCAAGCCAAATGGAACGCAACAAAAACGGTACACATGATGCCCCACAACAAAACCAAGCCAGTCCCTGAACCTAGGATGAATCTGGATGTGCCAATACGCGTTCCTGAGGTCCAGGGACACCAATCAAGCCCTCTCGGCTCCAAGAGCAGCCGGACCTGGGACAGAGTAGTCATCCAAAAGGAAGGTCAATAAACCCAGGGGTTCAGATGAGACAAGTCCAGAATGAACCGAAGATCAGCACAGTCCCCGTATTAGGACTGGGAACAATGGGAAACCCACCTGAGGAGCGTCGACGTTTCTACCATGCCCAAGCGCACCCACTCCGAGACAACCTGACAGAGCGCAGGAGAAGAGCCCTGTCCCACTAGCCCCGAACCTCCCAAGGAAGGAGAGACCACTTGAGAGATTACTCCTGGCTCGCATTCCACCAGAGAAAATATGCACCACACCACAAGGCACAGAGCAAGGACAGAAGTCCTTGATGGATCAGCCGGGCTGTGGTGGGTACGTGGCCCTGCGGGCCGCTCCAAGCAACAGCCTGGTGGACCAAACTCTCACAAGTCGAGCCTGGCCTCGGGCCGGGCTTGGGGAGTAGAAGAACTCCCAGAACCCCATCAACCAGGTATCAACCAGGTATCAACCAAGTCAGGAGCCAGTCATACGACCATTGCCAATCACATCAGCCGAAGAACTGAAAGTGTGGGTAGCTGGTAGAGGGGGTCTGGGGCTTTCCCTTCCCACTCCCAGGGAGGTGGGAGATGCACAGATGGTGGTGCGACATGTGGTGACGTCATGCTTGTTTGCTCATTTTCATTTGGGGAGTTCTGTCCACTCGTTTGAATTTCAGTAGTTGTTTCAACCAGAATATGGGTTTGTTTTGAGATGCTTACCTTTCTGGGTGCCAGACCCGGTCAATGGCAAACACAGAATGCTCCATAACCACATGTGCATTTCTATAGGCCATTGTTCCTCGTGCCTCTCTGAGGGGGCCAGGTTCTGGCTCGTGGTCCCCGGTAGGCCTAGAACTCCATTCACATTGATGCCAAAGTCTAATATATCCATATCAGCCTGGATAGCTCCTGGGAGCCGAAGGGGTTTTCCCCAGAAACACCTGAAACCCATTTGAAACTTTATACTACTTGAGCGTGAATGAATGACAAAAGCTGCGCCAAGAATCAAGGAAAAAACCAGCGTTGAATGTAATGAAACGCCATTTTCTGGGTGAGCCCCGGAGGCTCCCTGGAGCTTATCGGGCTAATGTGTGTTATGTTAGACCGGGACATTAGCTAAGGAGTTCAGACCTACCAGGGACCAGCGCCAGAACCTGGCCCCTTCAGAGAGGTTTCAGGGAGCAATGGCCCTGGAAAACCCCATATGGTTGGGGGTTTTCCTTATCTGCCATCGACCGGGGTTAGGCACCCAGAAAGGTAGGCGTAACAAAACAAACCCCACATGGTAAGACACTACAACAAAAACCGAACAGAGAGGTAGAAAACTCCCTACAATCCCAAGGAAACAAGCAAACAAGCAAACATCACACTTTACTGTCGCGCCGATCGTCCGCGCAGCCCTCCCCACCCCGGGAGGGGGAGGGGGGAGCCCCGGACCTACCGCGCCGGCTGCCAAGCTCCAGTTCGGAAGCTAAGCTTCAACCAACGCGAAAAAACCGCCGACCGGTGGGAGGGAGGGTTTCCAGGGAGCCTCCGGGGCTCACCCAGAAAATGGCGTTTCATTACATTCAACGCTGGTTTTCTGTGGGGAGCCCCTACGGCTCCCTGGAGCTTCATACCCAAAGAGAAGGAAAAGAAAGGGCTAACCCGGGAGGCGGCCGCCACAAACTCTGCAACACAAAGCCAAGACAACCGGTCACAAACCTGCGACCCAAGGCAACAAGAACGCCCAAGAACAGACGCACACATGGATGGGCGGCCAAAAACCTGTGCGACCCACAATTCCCTGCGCCCGAAATGAGCCCGAGACGTCACCAACACAGCAGCAATTGCTGTAAACGTCTGAACAGCACGGGCGCAAAGACAGACCGCAGTAAGAAGGAAAACACTGCGGACGACCCAGGAGACCCGAGCCCTGAAAACAGGGAACGAAGGAACCGGATCAACCACAGCGCATCCCCAGGCACGGTACGCCGGCAACAGCAAAAAGCACAACTGGACAACACAGGACGCACCCCCCGGCCAAACCAAACAAGTACCAATACCCCAAGAACCCCTCCGGAAAGCAGCCGTCTCGACCGTCGCCAGGACAGAGAAAGGCTGCACACCAATAAAGCTACCACCAGTACCAAAGAGGAGGAAACTGAAACCGAAGGGGCTACCACAAACTGAGGGGAAGAGAAGAAGGCACCCTGAACAAGGACCAGGATGGCTCAGGCGACGCATGAGCAGGCCGGAGGGGAAACAAAACGCAAGAAGACGTAATAAACGTCATACAGTCTCCAAGACGAAGCTCGCAGGTGGGACACCGTCAACAAAGCCACCTGAACACCATAGAGATGGCGATACCTGCGTCAAAATACCAGACGCGAAGAGCCAAAGAGAAGGCCGAACCAGTCACGGACAGGACCGATTCGGCCTGCTGAAAGAGGCGAAGCCTCAGGAAAAACGCCCCGGGTATGGACACCTATCAAGCAGCGTCTGAAAAGAAGGCCGGGCCGGCCACAGTGGAACCATAAGGACTGTTCTCGTGGGAATGGGCTGCAACTGAGCCAGAACCCGAAGCAACAGCTGGACCGGGAGAAGAGGTACAGGTACCCCCCACCTCGACCAGGCCTGCCGAAAGCCTCCACCGTGAAGTCCTCGCAGGTGGGAAGGGCGCCACAAAACGGGCGACGCCTAGACCACGCCGACCCGAAGACGTCCATGGCCAGGAGTCCATAAGCCCAACAGAGCCAACAAAACGAATCGGCGACGACTGGCCAACCCACGAAGAGGAATGAACCGAGACAGCTGTCCACCAGGACGCAGGACACACCCCGGACACGAACCACACGGTTAACCAAACCCCCTGTGGTTCCGGCAAGAACCACCAGAGAACAGTCCAGAGCTGAAAGGTAGAGTACCTAGTGACCCAAACCCTCCGAAGCGCAAACCAGACAGCCATGAACACCTGAACCGGGCTGTGAGCCCGACGGACAGACAGACTCCATCAACCTCGGCCGACCTGGTGAGCACTGGTCACAAAGCCCCAGCCGAGAGACGACCCGTCCGTGAACACATCGAGCGAAGGCTCGGGGAGCCGCCAAGGCACGGAACCCCGAAAACCCCAAAGAGGAAGCTGGTGACGCAGCACCAACACCAGAACCCCCAGAGGAACCCAAGGAATGCAAGAGGCGGAAGTGGAGTCTCCGTAGGAACCAACCGACGCCGGAGCCAAACCCGACTCCGCGGGCAGACAAGCACGCCGAAGTGCAAACTCCCGCACAACCGCCCAAGCAACCGCTGAGCAA